CGTGGGCGCCGGCGTTGGTGCTGGCGTCGGTGCTGGCGTCGGTGCTGGCGCAGGCGGCGGTCGTACCGGTCTGGACGCCCATGAGCCCCAACCAGACACAACACATTCGAGGCATGGACGTAGGTGCCAGCGTTATTGCTACCGTCGGTGTCGGCGTCGGGGTCGGCGGAGGCTCTGGCGTTGGCACTGGCGTAGTCGTAGGCGTTGGAGTTGGCGGCGGTGCTGGGCAAGGAACTGTCGTTGGTGTCAGCTTGGGCGCCGGCGTTGTTGCTGGCGTCGGTGCTGACGTCGGAACTGTAGCCTGTGGTGGTCGTAACGGTCTGGATGCCCACCAGCCCGAGCCAGACGCAACAAAGTCGAACCAGGCAGGGACGCAAGCGGAGGCGTTGTTGTTCCCGTCAGTGCCGGCGTCGGCTCTGACGGAGGCTCCGGTGTCGGCATTGGCGTAGGCGTGGGCGTTGGGGTTGGCGGCGGTACTGGGCAAGGAACTGTTGTTGGTGCCAGCGTGGGTGCCGGCGTTGGTGCTGGCGTCGATGCTGGCGTCGGTGCTGGCGCAGGCGGCGGCCGTAACGGTCTGGACTCCCATCAGTCCAAGCTGGACGCAATGTAGCTAGGATGGCGGTGACGCTGTATATAAGGAAACCTCCGGCCAGGTAAACGCCATACCATCCTTGGTCCCAGACGTCGAGACATCCCCCAGCCCGTGACACCACAATCGTATTGACAAAATCCCCGCAGCTGCTGGAGAAGTGGTGGGTGCTGATGTGGATGCCGCTGCTGTCATGAACGCTCCCAAGAAAAAAACGGTGAGCTCAAGATCCCTTGGAGGACCGATTGTAGGCGCGGGAGTCGGCGATCTGGTCGGCGCGGGAGTCGGTGAGCTGGTCGGCGCCGGAGTCGACCAAATAATGCCAGCAAAGTGTGGCCCATGTGTTTCTGCTTCAGTCGTGATGCGGCTGCTCCTGCTTCACAGTCGTGGGGTGGTTCTGTGGCTCAAGTGGGGGCTGGTGCGTGTGGGACGGTGAGCGGGTCGATGCAAGAGTCAGCGAACTGGTCGGCGTGGGAGTCGGCGAGCTGGCCGGCGCAGGATTCGACCAAATAATGCCAACAAAATGTGGCCCATGTGTTTCTGCTTCACAGTCGTGATGCGGCTGCTCCTGCTTCACGGTCGCGGGGCGGCTCTGTGGCTAAAGTGGGAGCTGGTGCGTGTGAGACGGTGAGCGGGTCGAGGCAAGAGTCAGTGAACTGGTCGGTGTGGGAGTCGGCGAGCTGGCCGGCGCTGGAGTCGACCAAATCATGCGAGGTGGATGAAGTGGAGGAGGAATCAAAGGGGAATGCGGGGAAGGGGCGAGAGGTGAAGAGGGCAGGCATGGGAGAATGACGGGACGAGGGGTCCTCCTCCCCCTCCCCCTTCCACTCGCACTGCTCGGCCTCAAGGCTATCCGCCTCCTACATGTCCTCGTCCTCGTCCTCCCTCCCCCACCCTGTCTCCTCTCCACCTCGCACTCCACGCCCTCCACGTCGTCGTCATCCTTCTCCTCCATATCCGCGCTCCTCTTTCTCCTACTCCTCGTCTGCCTCCTCGTCGTCCTCGCCGTCCTGGTCGTCGTGCTTGCCGTCCCCGTCGTGCTCCATCCCTCCTCCCTGTCGCACCCCAGGACGGGTCGCCTGAGACTTCCTCAACATTCATGGTGTTGGAGCTTGAAATGTGCAACACATTCACGAATAGAGGGCGGGTCGCTTTCAAAATGTGCCTCTAGCCTTAGCGCCGCGCACATCCGTCCTTCGTGCACGGATGGCGGCCTGTTTCGAACTGTGGCTCTCACCTTCGCGCCGCGCGCATCCGTCTTAAAAGATAGGTTCACGAATAGAGGGCGGATCATGTTTCAATGTGACTCTCGCTGCAGTGCCGAGCACATTCGTTTGAAAAGTTTGACGGATGTTTTGTGAATGGAGGTCGGGCCGATTTCGAGAGGTACCGCAGCGCCGCGCACATTCGTTTAACAAGTTTACGCGAGCTCGGGCGTTTTTTTTTATTCTATGTTTTATATGTGGCTCTCGCCTTAGCGCCGCGCAAATTCATCTTGCAATTCTGCAAGAATTTCACGGATGGAGGGCGGGCCGTTTTCCAACTGTGGCTCTCGCCTCAGCGCCGCGCACATCCGTCTTACAAGTTTGCAGGGGTTTGGGCATTTCTTTCATGTGGCTCTCGCCTAAGCGCCGCGCGCATTCGCCCTTCAAGCTTGCAAGGGCTTCACGGACGGAGGGCGGATCGTTTTCAAACTGTGGCTCTCGCCGCAGCGCCACGCACATTCGTCTTATAACTTTCCAAAAAGTTTGGGGGGTTTCAACATGTGGCTCTCGCCTTAGCGCTCCGCAAATTCGCCTTGAAAGTCTGGGGGAGCTTCGCGAATGGATGGCGGCTCATTTTCAAAATGTGGCTCTCGCCCCAGCGCCGCGCACATCCGCGCTGACAAGTTACAGCAATTTCAAAGATTCTGATGGCTGAAGTCCCAGAATTTGTGTTTCTGGTACGATTTAGGACTGTCGGGGCGCGACCGTAACGTTGAGTCGCGGTGTTGGCGTTCTAGAGATCGTTTTCTTGGCACGACTTAGGGTCGTCAGGTCGCAACCGTAATGCTGATTCGAGGCGTCGATATCCGAGGAATGGAGCGTTGGTACGGTTGTAGATGAAGATTGTCAGACGGTTGTCTTCCATCGAGGATCTTCCCGCATTGAAATACAGCATTATAGGAGCCTTTGAAGAGGGAACTTGGAGGAAGGGTTGATTGCAACATCGTTGATGAGGTCTTGGGTTTACACCGGTCGTCCTCCTCTTTCTCCTCTTCCTCCTCGTCTGCCTCGTCGTCGTCCTCGTCGTTGTCCTCCCCGTCCTCGTCGTCGTGCTCGCCATGCTCGTCGTCGTCCTCACCCTCCTCTTTCTCCTCCTCCTCGTCTGCCTGGTCGTCCTCCTCCGCCTTCTCCTTCTCCTCCTCCTCCTCCTCCTCCTCCTCCTCCTCCTCCTCCTCCTCCTCCTCCTCCTCCTCGTTCGTCCTCCTCCTCGTCGGCGTGGTCGGCATGGCCGTCGTGGACGTCGTCGTCCTCGTCGCCGCGGCGCCAAGAGCGAGGCCGCCAGGGGGCGCCGGGCGCTGCGCGCTCGCGGGCAAGGGTGCCTGAAGCGCGCGCCGTGCGGCCCCACGGGTGCCTCTGCTTCAGCTCCTGCGGGGGTGCGCGGCGGCGAAAACGGCCGCAGACGACGACGACGACGACGACGACGATGACGACAACGACAACGGCGACGACGACGACGACGACGACAACGACAACGGCGACGACGACGACGACGACGGCCGCAGACGACGACGACGACGACAACGACAACGGCGACGGCGACGAAGACGACGGCGACGACAACGACAACGACGACGACAACGACAACGACGACGACAACGACGACGACGACGACGACGACGACGACGGACGACGACGACGACGACGACGACGACGACGACGACGACGACGACGACGACGACGACGGCGGCGGTGGTCACGGCCGCGGCCGCGGCGGCGCGGCGGCGACGGCGGCGAGGGGGAGAAGGAGGTGGGGAGGAGGGGGATTTGGGAGACAAGGGCGAGAGGGGGCGGGGAGGGGAGGGTTGATGGCGAGGAGGCGAGGGGGGGGGAGGGGGTGGGGGGGAGGATAGCGACACCAACGTGGAGAGGGGGAGGAGGAGAGGAGAGAGGAGGAGGGAGGAGGGGAAGGATGAGGACGTGGAGGATGGGTAGAAGAGGAAGGAGTGAAGAAGGAGGATGAGGAGGATGAGGAGGGAGGAGGAGGAGGAAAGAAAAGGGGGAAGGGGTCGAAGGATGCCGGCAATGAGGAGGGGGAGGAGAAAGAGGACGGGTAGGAAGATCCCGCCTCTCGTGGTGGACGAAGGGTGGGGTGGCGAGAGTGGCGGGGCATTGGCGGCGCGCTGCTGGCGCCCTCCGGAGCCTCCCAGCGCCAGGGCCGGCTGGGTGTCGGGGAAAGTGCCCACTCGCGTGGCCAACTCCAGCTGGATGCAGCAGTTTATTGTTGCACCCTCCATGAGCATTTACCCCGACGTGCGCGGCGCAAGCGCACGACCCGAACGAACAAAAAGGCGGCGACGCACCGAGGAAACGTTCGACGCGCGACACGGCCTGCGCACCGCCCTGAGGAGGGCATTCCCCTCCTCAGTTTCCCCCCCGAGCGTCTGTAGCGCAGCCGCGCGACCCGAGCAACCCCGAGAGCGGCGACGCACCACGAGAACGCGTGCCCCACGACACCGCGCGTGCCACCGAGTGGAGGCAGCGGTGCGCGGTGGCAGCTTAGCGCGCACGCGGTCGAGCGCACGCTTGAGCCGACTCGGCCATGGAGCAACCCCGCCTCAGCAGGCAGGCGGGCAGGCAGCAGCAGCAGGCAAGAGCGGAGGAGCATACAGTCGGGGCGTTGACCTAAGGAACCCTAAATAAGGAACGAGGCCCCTTTTGCCATAAGTTAAACTTCGATTTCTTATCGGAAACATAAGGAAAACCTGAGGCAAGCTGTGAAACACTTACGGAACACGGAGCCCCTCCCCAACGAAAAGGGTTCCTTCTTCAGGGCCCCGACTGTAGGGAGGGCATGGAGTGAGCATCGGGAGGAAGGGGGGCGCGTCGCGACGCGATGCCAAGGCGATCGTGCCGTGGAGGGGGGGGGGTCCTCGAACAGCGGCATCTGTATCAGAGCCTCGGCGCTCGCCCTCCCGCTGCCGGGGCCCATCTCTCGCACTCCCCCCTGCCTCACCAACACTGCCACTGCGCCCTGGACGCGCACGGCTCTCCCCCCCTCCCTCTCTCCCTCTCGCCGCCTTGCTCTCTCTCTCTCTCTCTCGCTCCCTCTTCCTCGCTCTCGCTCCCGCGCCTGGGTCCCTCCGCCCCTCCAGTGCGAGGGGGGGGGTCCTTTGGATCCCCTGGCGCCAGCGCTCTCTGCCATCCACGTTTCTGTCCCCGCTGCCTCCCTCGGCGGCCGGCCTGGCGGTGGCGGGACCTGGGGGCGACCGCGCCCTCAGGCACGGTCGATTGCACGGTCGCCAGCGCCTCGGTCCTTCCGCCCCTCCAGTGCGAGGGGAAGGCGTTTTGCCCCCCCAGCGCAAGCGCTTTTCCTGCCTTTAGCGTTTCTGCCCCGTCCCCTCCCTCGGCGGGGCCAGCTTGTCCAAAAGGAGAGGTCCCGTCCCTCGCCGCTGTTTGAGGAGGAGGAGGAGGAGGAGGAGGAGGAGGAGGAGGAGGAGGAGGAGGAGGAGCAGGAGGCGGAGGAGGAGGAGGGGGAGGAGGAGGAGGAGGCGGAGGAGGGGGAGGAGGAGGCCGGCGCACGCTCGCTGCACAGTGCGCTGCGCTGCGGCAGCCTGCCCAGCGAGAGGCCCCCCACCGCTGTTTGCCCCCTCGCCGGCGCGGGCCCCCAAGGCCCACGCGGGACGCCCGCTGCACGGTGCGCGCTGCGCTCTGCGGCGGCCTGCCGCGGCCCACTCGTCCGTCGTGCGCCCACGCGCCAGGAGCGCATCGGGCTCGGGGCGCCACGCGCCCCCGTCGGCCGCGCGCGGACACGCGCTGCGAGCTCGGCGTGTGTGGTTGTGTGTGTGTGTGTGCGTGTGCGTGCGTGCGTGTGCGTGTGCGTGTGCGTGTGCGCGTGTGCGTGTGCGTGTCCGTGTCCGTGTGCGTGGGTGTGCGCGTGTGCGTGCGCGCGTGTAGGTGTGCGTGTATCTCTCTCTCTCTCTCTTTCTCTCTCTCTCTCTCTGTCTTACTCGTGTTCCCCTCGTTGCCACGCTCTCTTCACTGCTTCCGCAATATGTTTCTGCCCCCTTCCTCCCGCTCGCACTGCCCCGCCACACCCCCGTCCCACTCCACCCACCCATCCACACGCAGACTTTTGAGCAGTAGCAGCCCCGCGCGCGGCGACGAGGCGAGTAATTCCAGCGGCAGGGCGGACGCGCGCGGCATACGCACACACGCACACACGCACACACACACACACACGCACACACACACACACCCGCACACACACACACACACAGGCACACACGCACACGCACACAGGCACACACACATCACCACACACGCACACGCACACGCACACGCACACGCTCATACACAAACGCGCACAAACGCACACACACAAACACACACACACACACACGCGCGCGCACACACACACACACACACACACACACACACACACACACACACACACACACACACACACACACACACACACACACACACACACACACACACACACACACACACACACGCATACACACAAACACACACACACACACACCCACACACACAAACGCACACATACGCGCACACACAAACATACACACACTCTCACACACAATCACACACACAATCACACACACACACGCTTTTTGGCGACGCGGCCACGCGTGCGGCGGCGCGGCGCAGGTCAAGTCATGCGGAAACGCGCGGGCTGGTCCAGCTCACGCAGCGTGGAGAAGCTGGATCCGCCCATAGAGGATCGACAGCATCACTCGCGAGGGGGCAGTCGCGCAGGGAGAGGGCCGGGGGAAAGAGGGGACATAGAAGAACAGCGCGACGGTGACAGGCCGAAGCATCAAGCTAGACGCGGCAGAAGGGCGGTAACGCAAGCCGACCAGGAAGGAGAATTTAGGAAGCGTGTAAGCCGATTAGTGGGTCTGCCTGTCGTCGTCGCCGTTGTCGTTGTCGTCGTCGTCGTCGCTGGTCGTCGTCGTCGTCGTCGCTGGTCGTCGTCGTCGTCGTCGTCGTCGTCGTCGTCGTCTTCGTCGCCTTCGATGTCGTCGTCGTCGTCCCGAAACAGCAAGGCGGACACACTCCGCCCACCCACAGCCACACTTGTTCCCTCGGCAGCCCGCCGTTCTGCGCTCAGGCGGCGACCCGATGCCGCCCAGCGCCTGCAGGCGAGCGTTGGCGCATGCCAGCCAAGGAGACGGCGAGACACCCTCCTCGCCAGCGGCCCTGCTCTCTCGGATGGCCAAGGCGCCGGTCTCCGGGTGGTTGTTTTCTTATGATTCGCGAAAACGGACGTGACTGGCCTCGCCCCCCCAATCCTGGCCTTGAGACTCCTCAAATCCTCCTCGACCATCCTCCTCGATTATCCACGATCCTCCTCCTCCTCCTCCTCCTCCTCATCCTCCTCATCCTTCCTCCTCCTCCTCCTCTTCCTCCTCCCTCCTCCTCCTCCTCCTCCTCCTCCTCCTCGGGCTCACTGAAAATACCAATAATTGGAGGCAGCAGCTCTTGAAGGCAACCATTTCTGCTGACCGAACAAATGGCCTTCGGGTAAAAAAAGCCTCCAGAGAATTGTTGCAGAGTGTTTGCTCGTGTTTGTTACCGCCACCAGCTGCTTCAGAATAAAGCGACGTTAGAGAAAGGAGACAGCGGCACAAACGTATACTCGCGGAGGTCCGCGCGCGCATGTCCTGGGTGCGCCAGGGGTGGCGCCTCCTCCAGCGCCGCCAGGGGGAGGGGGGGGCCCAGCGCCGACCAACAAAAATCCGCGCGGACCTCCGAAAATGTATTATCACGTCGATCATGATTTTCCGATGCTCCTCCTGCCCCCTCCTCCTCCCCTCCCTGTTCTCCCTCTCTTTCCACCTCCTTCCTCCTCTCTCCTCCTCCTCCTCCCCCCTCCCACGTCCTCTTCCCTCATTCCCCTCTCTCATCCACGGATACAAGCGGATAGTGAGCACATCTTAACACAAAAGAAAAGGATGGGTGGGAGGGGTAGGATGCCGGATTTGGCGCGAGCACGCCTATAGCTACCTAGCTTGTTCCTCCTCCTCCGCATCCTCCCCCTCCTCCTCCCTCCCTCTCCCTCCCATCCCATCCTCCTCACCAGAATTACACACTATGAACACCGCTCTCCTCTCCCTTTCGAATCTGTCCTAAGAGTATTCGCCCCCTCTCCGCGCCCTGTTTTCTACACGCTAGATTTCCGCGAGCTGACCTTTTTTTCAAATGGTTGTTTGCAATCCCGTTTACATTTTCCAAAAATGGTGTGGCATCCTTTTCGGATCGGCGCTGCGCTTCCGGCGTTCAGAATGGCGTTACCCCTTGAAACGGGGGCCACTTTTCTGGATCCCACAGGTCCCGCAGGTCCCACAGGTCTCGCATGTGTCGCAGGCCCCACAGGTCCCACAGGACGCATAAGTATCGCAGGTCGTCTCACAGGTTTCACAAGTACCACTGGTGTGACAGGTTCCACAGGTCCCGCAGGTCTCGATTGCCGCAAGTCCCACAGGACCGACAGGTCCAGCAGGCACCAAAAGTCCCAGACGCGTCGCATGTCTCACAAGTCCCACCGAAGTCCCCCAAGTCCCATTGGTCCCACAAGTCCCGCAGGTGCCACGGGTCCCACAGGTCGCGCGGATCTTACAGGTCCCACAGTTCCCACAGGTCCCACGGTCCCCACATATGTCGCAGGCGTCACAGGCCCCACAGGCCACAGAGGTCTCCCATGTCGCACAAGTCCCACAAGTTTCCCTTTATCCGACTGCGCATAACACGATGGGGCCTTGTAGAGTTCCAGTTCGGTTACGACACGCGTCCGCGGATAGGGAAAAACAACGCGATGCGAAGGGAGGGATGGGAGGGAACGATAGGATGTCAGGTATGGCGCGGCCATGGAGATCGGCGTGTTGGAAATCATTGTCTTTGGCGGTCTAGGTCCCAACAACAATCTAACAGCAACACAACTATCCAGGCGAAGGACCCACCCATATGCAGTTGTGGGTACCGCAATTGTGAATACATTCTTTGGTGAAGCTCCCTATGGGGCCACGAAGCGCTGCACTATGTGGGGGGGAACGCATGCGGGCGGTAGCACTGGGGCCGTCGGTGGAGCTTCCTATGGGGCCACGAGACGCTGTACAGGGTGAGTGAAACTGCCAAATTGGGCGTGTGGGACGCATGCGGGCGGTCCCGCTGGGGGTTTCGGTGGGGCTCCCTATGGTGCCACGAAGCGCTGCACTGGGTGGGGGGAACGCATGCGGGCGGTAGCACTGGGGCCGTCGGTGGAGCTCGCTATGGGCCCACGAAGCGCCAGACCCAGTGGGTAAAAATGCCAACTTGGGTGTGTAGGACGCACGCGGGCGGTCCCACTGGGGGCTTCGGTGGGGCTCCCTATGGGGCCACGAAGCGCTGTACTGGGTGGGTGAAAATGCCGAATTGGACGTGTGGGGCGCATAGGGGCGGTTCCACTGGAGGCTTCGGTGGAGCTCCCTATGGGGCCTCGAAGCGCTGTACTGGGTGGGTGAAAATGCCGAACTGGGTGTTCTGGGACGCATGCGGACGGTGGCACTGGGGGCTTCAGTGGGGCTCCCTATGGGACCACGAAGCGCTGTACTGGGTGGGTGAAAATGCCGAATTGGGTGTTCTAGGACGCATGCGGACGGTAGCACTCGGGGCTTCGGTGGAGCTCCCTGTGGGGCCACGAAACGCTGTACTGGGTGGGTGAAAATGCCGATTGGGTGTTCCGGGACGCATGCGGACGGTGGCACTGGGGGCTTCGGTGGAGCTCCTTATGGGGCCACGAAGCGCTGCACTGGGAAAGTGAAAGTGCCAAACTGGGTGTTCCCGGACGCATGCGGACGGTGGCACTCGGGGCTTCGGTGGAGCTCCCTCTTGAGCCACGAGACGCTGTACTGGGTGGGTGAAAATGCCGAATTAGGTGTTCCAAGACGCATGCGGACGGTGACTCTGGGGGCTTCGGTGGAGCTCCCTGCTGGGCCACGAAACGCTGTGCTGGGCAAGTGAATCTGTCAAACTGGGTGTTCCGGGACGCATGCGGACGGTGGCATTGGGGGCTCCGGTGGATCTCCCTATGGGGCCACGAAGCGCTGTAGTGCGTGGGTGCAAATGCCGAACTGGGTGTTCTGAGACGCATGCGGGCGGTGGCACTGGGGGCTCCGGTGGAGCTCCCTATGAATCCACGAAGTGC